AACAGTGGAATCCAGGATGCGCATTTCGTCCTATTTGGCACCCGTCATCTGGATGTACCTGCATTTCCAGTGAGTGAAGATCTTCCCACCGAGGCTCGAACCCAGTGCCCTTAGTTTCAAATACCAAAGCGTTATGCATTAGTGCCTCGGTGGCACAGTGGTTAGGATTCTCGCTGACCATAATACACATGGTCCGGGGTTTGAGCTTGTACCGACGCACACATGATATCTATGGTCGGCCTGCAAAATTTGGGCTACCGATATCACATGCTGAAAATTCCATGCCTAAAGCAAAATTCCGGTGTGGGATCAAGCTGTAATAAAAAAAAAGTAGACCACTTGGGCAACGAGTGAAACTAAGGGCACTGGGTTCGAGCCTCGGTGGGGAGATCATCACTCACTGAGAAATGCAGGTACATTCAGCTGACGAGTCCCAAAATAGAACGAAATGCGCAGCCTGTATTCCACTGCTAGTCACCATCCACAAATTAAATTAAGGAAATGGTGTTTCATTTTGTCATTCATCATTATTCTACAGTTGGCACTCTGAGGACAAATTTCAACACCAGTTACAAATAACTCTTGTTCACCTGATTTTGGTGTATGAAAGGAGACATATTTTAGGTTTAAAAATTCCATTTGCTACTGTTCACGCATGTATTAGAGTAGAAATGAAAATTCACCCTTATTACAGAATGAGCAGTAACAAAATAAACTTGTTGCTGCAAAATTTATGCCAAAGCCTTCCCCAGATAATATCGATAACTAGAAACCATTTGTTGTTCTCCGGACTCTGCTATTTGATTGGAGACGTCTGAGCGTCAGGCTAAGTGAGATCATTAGCGCTAATTTCATTAGGAAGTGGGATGTAGTTGGAGGCTGTATGAATATTTAGGTATTCTTTTGCCTTGTTCGTGTTTTTTTTTTAGTGAGGGAAGAAATTTTAATTTCGCAACCATTTGATCTTCATTTTTATTGTCTTACTGATGAAATCCTTCTTTTCAGTGTGTCATATACTCCATTAATTTTTTATTCGGGTGATCGTTTCGTACTATCGAGAAAAATAATTCAGTTTGAAAAACGAGAAAAAGCAATGAAATTTAATTTCTGGATGTGTTCTTCAGCATGATCTGTGATAGAACACTATAAACAAAAGTGAACAGAAAAGCTACTCATATTAATTAAATTTTGAGCAAAAAACCTAATAGGAAGTAACTGTAGGAAGAAGTGAATGTGGGTCTCAAAAAGCAAAAAGGGTCATACAGAGTTTATTGTGCAAAAGAGCTGATGAGATTTATTTTTATGCCTTTGGGACAAAACTGTAAATGTTTATCAGCTATCTGTTCTATTTTGGCTCGTGGTAGAATGATTTTTGTCCTGAAAGCTGGGAAGGATAATTTACATTTTCACTCAGATTCAGTTTTGAAGTTGACTAACCGATGAGCATTGTTAAAGACTTTTAAGACTCTATTCAGTCTAGCATTTTCTTTTGAAATTATAAAGATTTCCTCCATTTGTCGTTTGTTAACTTTGAAGAGGTTCGCAGCTAGTTGGAGGCAATTCGATTCCAGGTGCTTTACGAAGTAATGAAACAGGTGGAGACGTCATTGCTACTCTATATTTCTGCTGATATATTTGAATGTTGCATGCAAAGTGAACACTTAATGTGCATCAAAGTATTAGCTCTTTGATATACTTAGATGGTATACAAGCATTCATATTATTTGAATGAATACACTCATCAAGGTAGCACAGGGTTTCCGTCAGAATGACATTGGTGAAGAGACGAAATACGTCCATTGAAGCCGCAACTGATCCAGGATATATAAGCAAAGTTAACAGCTTGGTAGAAGAGGCAGTCAAGGGACAATTTCAAGTGAACGTGGATCAGATACCTGACTATGAACAAAAACGCCAGTCAGCATCAACGAGAGAAATCTTGGGAAAGTCATCTCTCTCTCTTACTTGGATAGCAACGACCGTTTCAACTACTGGTAGCACTGTTGAGAATGCCAGAGGCAGCCAAGAACGGGTCAGATAAGCATGACGGGCGTTCATTATTCTGAAATCATTCTAGAGATCTACAGCTAACAGCACAAGGAATAAGATCTGAAATTTCCAACACTGGTCTCAAGTCAATGATTCTACATAGTTAAAGCACCTGGGAGGGGATATGTCACGTGTGAATAGAAAAACGAAAGCCTGTGGGCAATCGTATAGGCCGTCAAAAGTGATGACGTATAAAAGAGTGAAATGTCGATTTGCTACTAAAGCCCTGCGTAAAACTGTGAATACAAGAAACGAATAATGATAATAAATGTCCGAGAAACTTGCAATAAACCTCACTGACTAGTGGGGTTAGCTCTAAAGATTTCACTTAGCATCATAATGATATATCAAAGCCCAGACAACATCGAAAAATTTCCATCCTGGAATTCGAGAAATAATAGTTTTAAGCATATGGAACCTGAAATTTATAACTCAAATAAGATTTTCAAGTATTAATGTGTAAGAATTTGACTGATTGGTTACAGGATTTCATCATGAGCTGAAATCGGTTAGAGAACCGTGGGAAAACCTAGAGTGTTGGACAGCTGGTCTACGAGCTCGCCTTGTAACCGGAAGGTCCTGGATTACAATCCCAGTGGGTACGTGCTGATGGAGAGTCCCAAACTAGGACGAAACAGCTGTCTGGCACTCTCAGGTTTTCCAATGGTTCTCTAACCGATGTCAGGTCATGATGAAATCCAATACTCGAATAAGACTATTTAGTCTCATTGAGAAGAAGATAAAAAATTGACTGAAACCGTCTTTTATTAAAGTTTGAAGATCTCGTCTACTTTCATGAATACTGATTACTATGCAACTATGAATGTTCATTAGTGTATATTCATGAATACAAGTATCGAATGTTGTGCAATCTAACACAAAATTATATGTTTTAACAAAGAATGTACGTCTTATAATCCTTTTTTAAAAATGTTGTTTAGTTGTCTTTAAGGGTCAAGGAAATCTCCTGCGTAAATATTTCTTTACTAATGTTTGAATTTTGTATACCTGTCTCGCTTACTTCCTGTCATCTATATGCAAACTCTTTGCTAATTTTTATGGGCTTTCGAACATCATTCTCAGACGTCTAAATAACTGACATGCATTACAGAACCATTGGAAAACCTAGGTGCAGTGGACAGTACGACACACCCGCTGGTTCAAACCTAGGACCTTCCGGTTAAAAAGCGAGCTCGTAGACCATTGGGTTCTATTCCGATGGTTCGTGAATTCTGACTTCTGCCGATTGGGAAGGCAGCGGATTCAAACCCTGGTGAGTGCTTACTGACGAAGAGTTCCAAAGTGGGACGAAACGTCTGTCTACTACTTCTAGGTTTACCAATCATCCTTTAACGGATGTCATCTCGTGATAAATCCTGTAACCAACCAGATCTCTGCGAATCGACACTTGAAAGTCTGCATAGCTGCTGATCGTTTATTATTTTATTAGAAGATAAAATCCAGGTTATCATTCAAAAATTCATTACAGTTATATTACTGAATTTACCGTCCTAGGTAAATAGTATTTTATTGAGGTATGAACTGATTATATTACACTATAGTACTTATTTTAAATCTTTTTCTGCCATACTACAATCCTATTAGTTCTTCGCCCGTAGTTGACGTGTATTCACTCAGATGGCTAGAAAGTTTGTCAGTCGGTTTGTTAAATACGCCGTAACTTCTTTGTGATGTGATAAATGCATGGGTTATTTCTGTTTAGGCATGTGGAATATTGCGTGATGCTGGTACTCTATGATAAATAAAGGGAGCAGGTTTTGGTACTAAGCTACAAATCTCCTCCATTATATCTAAAAGCAGCAGAGTCATACTGATTCTTCTTAGTTTTGGGGTGTAAATCTTCGTGTATAGTTAACTTATTTCTGAGAAACAACGGACTTGCTATCATCACTATCAGTACTATAAAAAAATATCATTTAAACTGATCACAACAATTAGATAAAAAAAAGGAAATCATTTCCCATGGGCTTCAGAAAACATCTTTACAAGGTATTACTTAAAAGTATTCATTGTAATCTTTCACTGTCAGTTCACTGAAAGTGATGTATGGGGGACTGTGTTGTTTAAGGCAGTTTATGCCAACTCTGAATTCTTTCACATAAATATACTTTATACAGCGTAGCTTTATGTAAACTTTTGTAACTTAAATGGTTGATTCTCATCCAGTGCTATTCAATAAGACGAACGTTTTCGAAAGAATAAATATCAAGGAAAGAGTTCATTGCTGATAACTTTCATTTCTTCTTAATTAGTCTTTATGGATTCACTTAGCGATTGATAATTGTGTATACAATTGGTGGATGGTGGCTAGCAGTGGAATCCAGGATGCGCATTTCGTCCTATTTGGGACTCGTCAGCTGGATGTACCTGCATTTCTCAGTGAGTGATGATGTTCCCACTGAGGCTCGAACCCAGTACCCATAGTTTCAAACGCCAAAGCGTTATCCACTAGACCACTTGGGCCACGAGAGCCACCTCTTGTGCGACGGGTCATATTAATTATTGAATTGAATTTTTGATTTTCCCGTCGATTGATTGGACCGAAGTGCTCGGTCTCAGGTTGACATGTCGGCTTCTTGTGCAGATGCTTCGACGATGTCTGGGCATTTAGTTAGTATACAATTGGTGGATGGTGGCTAGCAGTGGAATCCAGGATGCGCATTTCGTCCTATTTGGGACTCGTCAATTCAATAATTGATAATTGTGGTTTCTCAAAAATCTAAATTATTTATTCTATGATAGTCATCTGAATATTGGATGATGTGTTATATCAAAGAACTGATGGTAATGTGAATTTGGTTAAAATTAATCTTCTCGACAGATGTACCTGTATTCGATTGGTTAATCAACTCACATTCACCTTGAATTGTAATTGGCTATACATGGTTTGAGTTAATTATAAAGCTAGAGAAATATTACTGAACTTAATTGAAATAAGAAATAATTATTTTACAGGATCTCTAGATTTTCAAGATTGTCTTGACTGCAATAAATTTTAATTAGAGTTACATCTGAACATCTCTAGGATTTAGTTGTTATTATCTATCGAAACTAGAACAATGTCAAGAATTGAATCTTCATCAACTACTTCTATGAATCGAAGTGCACATGGTGATGTACAGTATAAAAGTCGTTACTACCTACATCATCATGGTCCAGATCATTATCACGGTCGACCATTAAGTTCATTTAAACAACACATGTCCAGCAGTACACTTGCGCATTTGATACCAAATGCAAGTCAAAAACACTTACATCGTCAACATAAATCAGCTCACCGATTTGAATTCTCTAGCGCGGGTAATTTAGCCGTTAATCATTCAAGTTTGGAAAAGGAACTTGGTCGTAAATCAGGTGGTGATGAAACAGTTTTTGAGGTAATATTGAAAGGACACGTTTTTGTACGTGCTACTTGTTCACGACTTCGTGAATGTTGTGAATTTTGTCAACACTCAGTTCATGGTCACTCTTATTTGTACTGTCGAAATTGTCCAGTTGTAATTCATAATAAAGACGTTTGTCAAGAACGCCTAACTAGAGTTTGCCCTGTTCAGGAGATTGGAATAACAGGATGGGGAGAAGGTAAATTTTTGGTATTTACTTTCACATTATCTATTTCCATGTTTAATATTACTGTTGATTTTATTTATCAATATTATTGTGACTGTCATCTTTACACAAAACTTATATTATTGTGTCTATTTTGATAAAAGTATACAATGATTTTTTGCTGAATGACAATGTTGAAAGAAATATTACGTCGTTTGAACTCATCTTTCCCTTCCCAGATACTTGGAGCATGTTTCTCTGACTTAACTTTTGACTAACTGATGCTTGAAGTTATTGTATACTTAACTTTCTAGTTCAGAATCCATAAATGAGAAGGAATACAACAGTATCTGTTCAATAAGCATGAAGTGGAAAATTTCACACCAAATCATAGTAACGGTTTTTATTCTTTTACTAATATCATCACCACTACTACCTCTACCCATTAGTAACAAAGAAAACCAGAATAATAGATATTGATTTACCTTAATTTATGGCCTACTGAATCAGTCTGTTTACCTTCTAACATTAATTGTTGCTTTTATGACGTCGTCATGATGATACGGAAACATTTTAACCTGTTTGCTAGTTAAAGAGTTTGAATTTTAAAGTGGAAGAAATGTAAAAAAAAGCATTTAGCCAACAGGTAGCATGCACTTGTAAATAGATTCATCCTCTTTTATTGTTTTATGAAAAAAAGTAGGTTAGAATAGTTTTCGAAAAAGGATTGTTTTTCCGTTTTAATGAACACTATTTATGTAATTTGTTCTTGTGAGCTCAGCCTGTCTAAATTAAGCTAGTGGGAAGGACTATGCATGGAGTTAAGTATGTCAAATCACTTCTGCTTTTAATTTACCTTACAACTCCCTTCAGTATGACCTTATTAATATTTATGTTCTATACCACATAAACCTGAGGTACATGGTGAAGCATAAATGATAAAATTCAACCCTGCACGAAATGGTGTCTGACAGGTTATCATTGTAGGCTGATTGAAATGTATTATTCGCGTGTGAAATATGTCCACCAAGCTTAGTGACACAATACCATTGTACGCACTAATGCAATGTGATCTAAAATTGCATGTAGGAAGAAATCAGTCAGCAGGGTTAACACATGATATCATGATTTTGTGAATAGGCAAGATAAACATAAAACTCCCATTAATAAATTTCAATAAAGCAAGAACGACAAATGTACTAGGATAATCTGAGCTCATATTTTAATTTTTTTTATTATTTCGTGGATTTTTCTCAACTGGTTACAATCTGAACAATATTGAAATTATAAATTAAATCAAAGATATGAACAGACATTTTTTACAATGATAATGAGTAGTTGGTCGGAACTGAGAGTAACACTGGTTAGGAGTAATGTAATTTGTTGAATAATTAAGAGTGAAAAGGATCGGCGATTTATAGAAGAAATTGCTTGACTGAGCTTGCAACAATTCATAAGGTGTATACATGTCGGAAAGGGGTGCAAAATCATAGGATTATCAGGCGAATATAAAATGTTACATAATATGGTGTGAAACTTGATAAGATAGGATTCAATATTGTAAAATATTTTGAATTTAGACTGACAAGTGGGACAAGCGTAAACAATTCAGAGTGAAAACAGTAACAATAATATTGATAATGATAATCGTAGTAATGAGAGAAAGGTACACAGATCAACTAAATAAACAAAATAAATAAATAAATGTCTCTCCTTCAACCGTCAAGTCAGAAGTAGGGGTTGTACATACCTCTTTTGTACACTAAGGTCTGGCTTTAAGTCATGAATTGCCAAGGCCTCTGCTGTCTTTAAAAGTCTGTAACGAAGAAAATGCGGCAAGTTAGCATGGATTCGGTAGATGATCTTAAAATCATGGTCATGGTTGGCATAGTGACAGGAGTCGAGCAAGTGTTGTTCTAGAAGACAACTTCGCAGACACTTCCTTTCTCTCTTGTAAAACCATGCTGGAATATGTTCTTGTATCCTTGTGGAGAGCGTTCTGTCGCTACGGCCGATGTACCTTGCTCCACAAGAGCAGGTGAACTGATAGATGCATACGGAGGAGGCCAAACGGGGGTGCTTATCGTCTACAGAGACGGAGAACAATTTGCCGCTCGTGAAGGTCATTTGTAATTTTGCAGTGGCGAACGTTTTATCGACTGATTTAGAGAGACGACTTTTGAGCATATCTGAAGCTTGATCACCTTTGAATTTCAAGTTCATGAATAAAGTTTTCTTTGGAACTGAGTCGGTGACCAGTTTAGACTGCTTATCTCTCGTGTTATAAAATAGACATAAAGGGGGGTTTAGGATGAGTCACTTTTAGACGAAGAATTCAAGTTTTTTAAACAAACGAGATGACGTAGTGAAATTTGTGTGCTTCAGAAGAATCCACGAAATAATAAAAATCAAAATCTGAGCTTATATTATTTTGATGCATTTGTCGTTCTTGTTTTACTCAAAGATAAATGTACCATAAATGTACTACTCATTATCAATCTTCGAGTTTTTGAATGAAAAACGTTGTCAAGTTGCAAAGATCACAATCAGTTCTCCTTGTATGAGTAGTGTTTTCAGTTAAATATTATGCTAATAAATATAAGTACAACAAGAGGAAAAGGATAAATAGGGTAGACACTTTGTGATTCAAATTCATCATTAAGTGTGTAATAAATCAGATATTAATCTGTTGGTAACGAATACCTATTACAAGACAAGTCTATATCCATAGGCATATATATATGTAGAACTCGCGCCGACCAAGCACAAAGTCCGGGGTTCGAACCCCTTCCAACGCACACCTGATATCTATGTTCGGCCTGCAAAATTTGGGCTACCGATATCATATGCTAAAAATTTCATACTTGGACCAAAAATACAGTGTGGAATCAAGCTTTAATCAGAATATATATATATATATGTAAACAATGCTTTTCGTGAGGAAGGTTTACTCTGCAATAACCACAGACAAAATCTAAGGCTTTTTCAATGATAAATAGATTTTGAATATTATTTAAAAAGGTTTTTACTATCTTGAAAATAATCATCTTTATGTATACAACTAGTCAAGCAAACAAAAATTATGCTTAGTAGTTATCTTATGTACTTAGTTAGATACGTGTACATTTTAGACTGTGAATTTTAAAGTCTAGTTCAAAAGATTATATCGAAATGCAAAGATGACGACTGCTTAAAATTTAATAGGTAACAGAAATATAAGTTTAGTGTTGTCTAGAAGTTCATTGATCGATTTCTAATTTTATTATTTCAAAAGTCCTGTACTATATATATTATACAAACAATACTACATGTGTTTAATCAGTTTGTTATTTCGCTGGCTTCAATGATGTCTGTGAAAAAAATCACTTGCTTCCTGCACATTAACTCTGAGGTTGTAATAACAGTGTAGAATGAAATGTCTTCATCATGCAGATAAAGACAGGATTTTTACAAGATAACAAGAGATGAAAAACAAAATTCCCTATTACATCACAATTATTCATTGTATATTTGGATAATTTACTTAAAGTGAATATTGATTGAACTGAATTTTCAACGTAGAACTTTGCACAAAGTACAGTATTTCAAGTCAACAAACTTCATAAAAGCACGACAGCAAAAAAATAAAAGAGAATAATAGTTTAAAGAATGATAAAAATTTACAGAATCTAGAAGATCACATTGAGTGAATAAGAGAGAATTCAACAAATGTCATCATGTCTCTAACCACTTTTTCTTAATGTTTCTATGATCAAAGTAAATACACCCTACACCCTTCTAGGCGGCTTAAACCATGTGCAAAGTAGAAGAAAGTCAATAGACTGATTTCATGAAGTCAACAACATAGTTTAACATTTGGTGATTGATAATAACTAAAATATCTTAGACACACTTATGATATCAGAATGAATGCGAAGGTCGTGTCTAAGCCTTTTATACAGTGACGAAATCTCTTATATTTCTTAGAATACAGTTATTTTTGCTATGTTGTTTGCATAAACAAGGATGCATTATGATTTTTTTTACAGTCATACAAGTTGTAGTTAGAATATGATGTTTAATTTTAACTTAGAGTAAATGAGATATTTGTTGCTCGCTGCTAAACATATATACAGAGCATTTCAAACTGTAAAAAGAGATGCCTTTTAGAACTGTTATATATTGAAACATCTAATTACATTAGCACTTTTATATCTCCTTCATAATTTTCGATGCCTACCTCTTAATTGATCTTTAAAAAAAGTATTGATTTAACTGTTCCTTGTAATTTGTTCGCATAAATTAGCCTGTGCCTGAAAAATGATTGACTTTCAGATAAATTATATTAGAAGAAAGGCTTTGGCTTCTACTAAAATCATAGCCTTTAAGTGAAGGCTGTTCACCAGTAGGTAAACAGTCTGAATAATGAAACAATCCTGTAGTTGGTGTTTTGTTTACCCTTAGCTGTCTACTCAGTTGATATTTTGAGGAGGCATTCAGACACTGGCGAACGTCTGATTTTATATTGTGTTGGAAGTGTACTATAAGATCACACTTTTCACGCGTGTTTCATCTGTCCCATTTAAAAGATGTATTTTTGGTTCAGTATGTGAATTATGCAATCCAGTGTTGAAAGTTTGAATATGTTTGAAGGTACATTTCAAGTTAACTAACTGGCTGGAAGATAAGAAGAATACAGAAAGATAAGGACATTCTATTGATTTTGTCTAACTTGGTATGTTCAAATGAAGAAAACTAAAAGTCTCTAGTTAACCAAAAGTCTTTTGTCGACGGATTTTATGATTAAATGATTGATTAGTATGCTTACTGAATGAGATTATAGCTTTTATGGACAGTTAATGTAAATGGAAAAGCTGTCGATAGTAAAAAATTATACATGACAATAAGAGGTTGTTGAATAACTAGCTAGAATTTGAACAGTCTGAAGAGATTCGACTCTCTGACTGAGTTAATCCACACAGAGGCCATACGAACTCATCTCCAGCCGAATAGAATGGCTATCCAGTATTTTCCATTTAGTCCTCAGTATGTAATCTGTTTAAGTGAAAGAGGTGACGGAGACTTTTTTAGACCGCAGATGTTACGAATTTCCTGGAAAATTTGAGTGCCGAGTCAGATTCAATCATTTAAAATGATTTGAAACCATCCCAGGGTGTTTAAGAAAAAATCAAAACAAGATTTTCCTCAACGCTTCGAAGTGTAAGCCCCCAGCAGAATTATTCGAATTTTATTAGTCACCAGAATATATAGTCAAAAATTACATAAATTGAAGTCAGTTCATTTGAAGGTCACTTGTCAATAGACATTTGTACTTATAGAAATATGTAAGCAGTCATCATTAGGACCGACATGTGCTAGATAACACTCAAGAATCACGGTATAATGGACACTTCTTGTGCTTTTCAACCTACAACTATGAACTTTCAGATAGTCTGGGATCTATACTGTTAAAAATGGTTAAACTGCGATCAAATAGTGTTTTGATACTGCATGACTTTCAGGAGTTCTTAGACTGAGGTTATAATCTAATTCGTGGGAGTATTCAGTCGATTTTTACTTCTGATCTGATGTTTAAATTTGGTATTGATTGCCAGTTAACATCAACGATGGTAATTTGTTTTGAATATTTTGATATCTGTCGAAAAATTCATTTCTACAAGAATGGTGTCATAAAGGTTTTCTTACATGCATCTGTTGACACTGTTGCATCAGATGTATTTATAAATTTATTTATAAATTAATTAACCGAGTTAATTCATTTGTTTTACTCGTGATTCTTTTTCACCTAATAGCTTAACTGTCAAAATTTTAGGTTGCTGAGGAACTCAATATCGTTTCAGTGATTGCATGCATCCTAAAGTAATCATACCTAAAACTTAGAACTGAGTATTTTAGTGAATATGAGAAAGGCTTATGTTGTCCTCAAGGTTTACGCCCCATATATGCCTTAATGAAAGGCTGTTGACAGTTTCTGTTTGTTCATTATCCATCTTTAGAAATTTACTGTGAGAACAGAATGTCTGCATTTTTGAATGACAGCGTTTGTAGCTGAAGAAGAGAGATTATTATTATTACTATTATTACTGTTCTATTATTATTATTATTTATTATTCTGAGTGGAACATATAGCTGGACGCACGATAGCCCATAATATCTCATCTCCTCTTCTCACAATTATATTACCAGTGATTCTTTTATTCTCTTCAGAAAGATACCAATCAGTATTTTAATTGGCGTGAACAAGATCTTCTTTCAATTTTTGATTGTTGGACTTGAATTACAGTGACCTGTTTCCATTTTTTTTCAGGGATTCGAGCTTCAGCTTGAAGGTTTCTTCTCCCGCTCTTACTTTTCACTTGAATATTGTTGTCATAATCCTGCAGGATAAGATTGGTCCCCACTGTATTAGGACTTTGGCTGTTGCTGTTTGTGACATCTTTATAGCCACTCACTGCTTCAATGTTCTCATGGTTGTTGTCTGAATGACCACAGCGGAGTAGATTACTGACTCATCATTTGAAAATTTTGATGTTCTACATCGATTCCATCTGCTCTTGCAGATTCTGATCACTTCTATGCCATATCTTCTCATTTCTTTGGCTACCTGGGCAACTTTCCCGTTTCATGCATTGTAAGAACATTCCAGTTCCTCATTCTTAATCTTACTTTGATCGTGATAAGGGACATTGACTGGCTGACTGGCTTTCCAAATGTTTTCACCAGCCTGCTTTGTTACTCTATCTCTCCGATTCGGGCGAAGAATAAGATTATTATTTGAATTTTTTCTATTTTTAATATATTTTTTGTACATAGAAGTTTCTCTACTAGTTTGATAGGTTTTGTGGTGTAGAACTGATGCCCCATGCCCAACCATCTCTCTTTTCCAGGACTTAGGACTGCCTAGAAAGCTAGCAAGCTATTAAGCTAGGAGAGGTTTGAGAAGTTGTCAGCACAGTAATATAATATAAATCTTACAAATATGCTATAAATCTGAAGCTCTTTTTTTATGTAAAATTGCGACTGAATATGATGCTAAATCTTTCTCATGACAGGGATGCATTATTCAAATATGTTCAGTAAGTCTTTTAGACTCGTTAAAAATATCTATCAGATGCGAATTTAAGCTTCATTCCTATCTAAGTTGTTGACAATGACCAGCCTACCATTCATTAGTCTTAATACTGTGTGTAAATAATAAATTTAAGAGATTGGTTTGTCCTGTGGTTTTTATATTTTGGTGTGAATTTTTTATTAACTGTAATATACATAGATAGTTATGCATTGATCCATTTTTAAAACTCATTGATTACAAGATTTGTAGAGTGTAAACAAAAATCCCTACTAATTTTTCTGAAGGAAATTACGTTGAAGAAGATCTAGAGATATATCTAAGTTATATAGGGTTTCTGTGAATATGACAGAGTTGAGTAAAACAAGTAACTGAGAAACAGAGGAAGATAAAATGAAGAAGACAGGTTTTGAATTGAATGTGAAATTTTCAAAAGCACTATCTTAATTAACTGTAGGTATCTGTACGAATCAACATCAGTTAGAGGATTACTGAAAATAAAGTAGCCCTGAGTAGTTGT